AAACTTACTATTTAGCATCAATAAATCCCGTTTTCGACGGGCTTTCATCTGGTATAAAATTCATTACTTACCCTATTCGCAATTATAGCGTTACCCCCCTGGAAAAACATTTTTACGCACCCTGTACTAGAAACAAACATTTTACCTGGGACACCCGATATTTTGTTTCGTTTTGTTTTTCCATTTTCTGTTTTTATAATTTTCCTTTTCGTTATTTTTATGATTAAAACATTGAACTATATTTTTTACTCTATCTTTTGCTATTAGGGGAACACTAAACTAGTATGGGGAATACCAGCTATAATGTTATTACGGAGAACACCAGCTGTAATATTATCACGTATTTAGGGAAAACACCTGCTAAACGAATACAGTCTTTAATAATCATCTACTACAGCTCTGAACAGAAGGCTAGTATGACGCAGATTCCTGTCCAAGGTTCTTTCTGTCCATTGTTTCGGCATCCCATATACACTTACTAAATACGTTTTAGCTTTCTGACAAGCCACAGAAACTAACTATGATTGAATACCACAACATGAGTTACGCTGTCAGATCAGCAATTTATTTAAGAAAATATGTTATATGTAGTATTATATTTTAAGTCTGAACCGAAAATTGATTTAAACCGCACAATGTTCTTTTCTGGCGACTGATTCTTTGACAAAAAACTAATAGTCTAACAGTATTTGAATCTAAAAATTAAATGTATTATTGTGACAAAAACACAGATGAGCTAGTATATAAAGGATACACTTTGACAGTTAAAGGTTAGAGTATAATAAGATTTCTCCTCCCTTTCATTCTGATGCAAAAAGCTCAACTAATTACAGAACAACCGATAAAAAAATAGTTGCCGATAAAGACTTGATGCATATTAAAGCAATCAAAATTACAAAACAAACAGTAAAAAATAGCTTTAGAGAATTAACAGAGATTCAGATTGTACAGATAGAAAAAAAAAAAACACTGTAAAAAGCGGCAAATATGACAGCCTAGCATCATACTAAGGACAAACAAAGTTGACAGCAACAGAATTATTATGACCATTAAATTGAGATTTTTTCAAACTTAACATGGTGAAAGCAGCTTTGATCAAAAGAAAATGACAAAAAAAAAAGTTAAACATTATTAGTGTTGTCAGCGTGTATAGTGGACTTGAAATGATGTTTTGGACTCATTTTTTGCAATAATTCATCGAATTCGTTTGCTGAACCGTTATTTTCGATTGTTGGCAATTGTGGTGCTGATGATATTGATGTTATAATTCTGGGAGTGTCTTTTGTTTCATACTGCGTTGATTCCTCAATTCCTTCTTCTCCTTTCAATGGTCTCAATGTTTCAGCTAATGAAAACACAACCGGTTTATCTTGCGTACCTTGAATAATTCTAAAATCAATTTGATTTTCTCCTTGTTTGTCAGGTTCAGCGATCTTTAAAAGAGGCATTTTAGGAACGGCACCCCAGGCGAATGATATGGCTACAAAATAAACTAAAAGTCCATTGTAAACTACAGGAAATTTTGAAAAAACAAATTTACCTGTACATCTTAAACGTAGATAAAACGCTAAAATACCAAATGCGATTGATAAAACAAACAAAATTGGAATGATCACGGTTTCGAATATTGTCCGAATCTTTTCTGACACAACATTTCTTTGAGTTGAACGAGTTGTAACATTATGAAAGTTATTTGTCGAATTCGACACATCATTCGATATTTGAAAGGTTCTTTCGACACTCGTCTCCGCATTTGATAATGAAATCGGTTGCCAAAAGATAATAGGTTGTTCAACATCTGTTTTATTTCCAAATACAATATTGCCAATGATTGTACCAAATTTTGTTGGTGTATTTGTTATTGTTTTCGCTAACCATGCGGACACTACTATACTTATTACTGATATAATTAAAATGATGACAATGAGAACACAGAGGCGAGATTTCAATGTGATTCCCATATCTTTCGATTCACCACCACTCTCTATAATAAAGAAAAAAACCACATACATGATCATCATGAAATCATTTTATTTTATTTACTTATACGTAGAAAAACAATTTTTCCTGCTACTAATATTTAACCGCAAGAATAATTTATTCTTTTTTTCTTATTTTCGAACAGAAAATTGTTCGAGAACTCGAATTAAATGAGAAGAGTTAAACGACAAAACAGAATTAGTTCTACTTAATTTACCCGTATGAACAGTTTCTTCTTTTTCTTCACAATCAACATTAGTATCGTTTTCATCACTGCCGGCCATTCACTGCTACAAATGTATGATAATCTTTTTTCTACTATGGGAATGACTCAGAACTTTGACCTTAAACGAGAAAATAAAATATGTACAACATATTCGTTAACTTGCTTGGTTATGAAAACTGATTCTTTACAATAATAAGTTATCGGGAAACGAGAGGATCACATCTCTGTTAAGAGAAGTGGTCGGAACACTAGCTTCAAAAGAAATAGCATACTAAGTTGCACAATGGAGACTTATAACACGTTAAAAACTAGACCTTTAGATTATTCACCTGATTACGTTATCAAGAATTTGTTTTGAGAATTTCATTGGTATTTTGATATTTGCTTCTCTTCTTGTGTAAGATAACTGGTCTCACTTGGACACACCATCGTAAAATTAAGAAGAAAAACTTTCTCACAATCATTTACTATCTTTTAGGGTAAATTTACATTTACTTTTTTTTTCATCATATTATATTTTCTATCGAGAAATCAATCATACGTCCAATAACAACGTGAGAAAAGAATCCATTGTGATCTCGGGCTGACATGAGTGACATCTCTATTGTCAAATGCAAACAAAACAAAACTGTACTGAATTTCAGTTCTCATTGGAAATCTTATCATTCGTCGTTGGTTATTCCAATTTTCAAGAGTAGCAGTATAGTTCCGTCTTCACGATGAACGTCTGTATGATATAATGAAATGCGTGTATAATACCGCATGTGGCGCCGATCACAGCTTCATTCTCTTATTAGCCACTGATGGAAACCAATAGATTTTTAATCATTTCTCTCCTTCTGTTATTGTGTATTTGTTTATTTATCTTACTATGTACTTGATTATTTCACTCGTTTTGCGTTTGTTTAATCCGAGAACTGAATTGCTTTCTTCCGGCTTTCGGTAACAGTCAAGCAGAAAATAAAAAGAATCTGATAAAATTTTCTTTTTTCTTCGACGTTTTCCAGTGACTAGAGTTAGAAGTATAGAAGTGATCGAAATACTCGATGACAATACTGTCATCTCTACTGTTTATAAAATAATTCTGCTTATTCACTGTTATCGACGTATACTCAACTATCTATTGACAATAGTTGAATCGATAGTTGTTGATTATTCATATGTCAAAATCTCATTATTGTCTCAGATTTATAAACACACCATACCTTCACACTATCGGTTCAGTATAAACATTTTTATAGATGAATGTATTATACTCATACTTTTAACGGATCTAACTAAGCCTGCTCAAATGCACTCGTAAACGTTTAATACTGACGAAAAGTGAGAGCTATCAGATGTTTCCAACTTATAAGACCAATGATTTAAGCGAAAATATTGTAAGAGTAGAGTAGCTAATAATAAAGAGTAATAGGAGAGCAGCTTCGTTCCAAAAGAATTTTTCTGATCATGAGATAATGTTAAAATTTGCTAATACACAAGTTCTCGAAAAATTTACAAAATCTTAGGAAAGGCAGGCAGATTTAGTAAATTGAAACTATCCATATATTCTGTGATTCTCAGTGAAATGAGTCTAAAATTTGAGCGAACAGTGATCCAGTAGCCATACCTACCATACAAATGCAGGAAACCATCAGAAACGATCGTGCACTAAACTAAAAGTTTCTATAATTCAAGAGGCTTCTCATTTGAACTTTTGAAAATTAGTTCGAACTAGTTCAAAAAAGTCTCATTAAATATTTAATATGGAACTTTTTTAAACTAGTTCGAATTAATTTTCAAAAGTTCAAATGTATTAGTCCTCTCTCTGGTGGACTATAGCACTTAAATCAACGCAGGTATGAGCTAACTAAAAAGAAAAAGGGTAGGTCTATTGACACCCCCGGGGTGGTAGCAGGGAGCTATTGACAGTTTCAAGACTGGCAGCAAGGGGCTATTGACACTCCATCGAACTGGCAGCAAGGAGCTATTGACAGTTCAGAATACACTTATACACTGCAAAAATGTGTTATTTAATAAAGACCATCATCTCCAGGTAACATGGAAGTATTCCAGTGGCTCACTCTCATGCACAGCCACCCAACCCATCCGAAATCACCTCTCATAGGCCGTCAATTTCAGAACTAATTCAACATAACACGTTGAATAACACATTTATGCAGTGTGTAAGTGCATTTTGGACTGTCAATAGCTCTTGTTGCCAGTTCGACGGGGTGTCAATAGCTCCTTGCTGCCACCCCGGGGGTGTCAATAGCCATTCCGAAAGAAAAAACAACAAGGGTACATTTTACTGAAAAGATGTTGTGATAGAACTCTTTTGGACTAAGTTATATTCACCATTGATATTGCACGCACTGATGAATATAATTATTTGATGAATGAATGAATGAATTTATTCAAGAAAATGAATGATCATTGTATTCTCAGATCAACAGGTTATGGGTATATAGATGCAAATCATCTTAGCAATTATCATCGCATATTTGTTTGAATAAAATCTAATGTTGATCCAATAAAATATGATTTGTGATTTGTTTAATTTTAGATATGTATTTATTGATTAATTTTTGTATACTTAAAAAATAATGGCACAACCACGATCACGTATTTCATCGATAAATACAACACCTGACTCAGACAATGATAATAACTGTTGGAATAATAATGTAACAAAATCGAATCGACGTTTATCCGACAGTAATAATATAAATAATGATCGAAAAAATGTAAATATTGTTCGTGTATTGAAAAAGTTTTTTTATGGAAAACAAAAACTATCGACAGCACATTTAAATGATGAAGATGTTGATTTATCACCAACAACTCCGTTAAATGAATCACAGATGAACAATTATTCACAACAATATCCCTTGTTTATATATCCTTGCTTACAATATGAAAAGCATGCTAAATTTTCTGGTAAAAACATGATTCGTATAGTTATTTGATAAAACAATGATAATATAAAAATATCTTCTCATCTGTTTTGCTCTCACTTGTACAGGATTTCCAATTGGTTTTAATCAGAGTGGAAAGATTTTTAAGGCAGACAGTCTTTTTTAAAAAGTTGGTGGCCAGGTTTTTCTTAAAACAAGTGGAATATTTGTACAATGAAAAGAACTTTTATTACTCCGCACTAAAATTAATTTTTTCAGTGAAAACAATATCTGATCTTCATCCAAATCATTCTCAAATTTTAGGCAGACCAAAAAATCGGGTGGACAGTACCGAAATTTAGGGTGAGGATATTCCTATTTCTCTCCCTAATCGGAAATCCTGCACTTATATCAGTTTTTATACACATATATCACTACATTTATATCAATTTTTTCTTCCTTTTATTTTAACTTACCCACTTTCTTAAGCGTTAAGTCAAACTAAAGAATTTTGTCTTAGTTGGTTAACTTTGGTGGTATTTCTAAAGAATTTAGTTCCTCATACCAAGAGAGAGAGAGAGTTAGTTCATAGAATAACTTTCCTTATTTATTCACAATTCGGTCTTTTGTCTTCATTTTGCTTCTAACTTCTAGTGATAGTATTAAAAACAATAATTCGAGTTCATTTTATTGTGTCGTACCACCAAGAATAACTCATTTTATCTTCGTATTATTTACTAGTTTTTTAATCTTTTTTTTCCTGCTCTTTTGCTCAATTAAACTTAACAGTGACTGGTTTTATTTCTGTCCATCTTTTAATAATATTGCCACTCTCTCAACTAGACATTAGCGGAACCATGTCTTTTTCGTTCTACTTGAGTCCGCCGGCAGTTCTGAAAAAATATCCATAAAATAAAAGTAAACAGTATCACAAAAAATGTACATACGCTTACCTTTCGAATGGAACTTCTCTTTGTGTTATTCTGATATATTATTTGAAAAGAAAACGATGACAGCAGCTTAAGAAAAGCAATATTCATCCGAAGAAAAATGACTATTTTTATCAAGAATTTATATTTTTTAAAATTTCAACTTTGAATATGTTCAGGAGTTTCTCATACTTCTATTTCGATCATAATAATAATAATAATAATCCTATATTTTTCAGCGTGAAATGTCTTAGCTAGTTTTTATACAGTAATAGATCATTTCAATGCATGACAGAGTAATTTCTATTGGAAAGAATTTGAAAAATTAATCTTTTTAATCTTAATCATTTCTAGTTAAAAGTAAAACTCATCTTATTTATTTATTTATTTATTATAGGTGAATTATTGTTTCAGTGGTTAACGATTAGTTTTGAAAATCAGAATTCTTTTACTGAAAATTTTATAAAAGAAATTATTAAACAATGTTGTACATGCTTATTAGCACTTGGTGTTTTAAAATTAGATGATCCAAATATGGATGAAGATAATCAACACATGTTTAATGTAGGTTATGAAATATAAATTTCATTTATTCATCTATTGAAGTCATGTAAATATAAAATATGTGCTGTTCTAACTATTGATTATTAATGCTTTCGAAGTATCAATCTTTTGTGAATAGTATTTCAACATCGTGTATATATCAGCCCGATATAGATTTTTGATACCTTCACCAGTATGTTTTCATTTGCATAACTATAGTCGAAGGTTTCATCTTGTATACTTTGAAAATCATTATGAAATAGCCTATCTATTTTTTGTTGGTTATGAATATGTGTGTGTGTGTGTGTATAGCATATTAAAGTGAGAAGGCAAAACATTTTTGATAGCAATCGATAATGAAGTTTTCTTTTTAAAAGATTGATATTAATTAAAAAATTGGTTCCACTATTGATTTTTTGTTTAATAGACGACGAATAGCATATAATAATATCATGAGAATGAAACTTATCACCTCATGGAAGACCTCAATATTCATTTCATTATATTATATTATGGTTATCAATGATAACGTGTTTATATTTCTATTTGTGTTCAAGGTATAGGAATAAAAATGAGAGAGAGAGAGAGAGAGAGAGAGAAAAAAACGACACAATGTGGATAATATAAGTCAAAAATAAAAAATGAAGCAAATCATTATATTTAGATATAGATGTATTTCTTTGAACAGATATAAAAAAGACGTGTAAAAAAACATGAAAAAAGAAAATGATTGTCTTGTTTTGATTCATGTTAATGTATCACCTTTATATAATAGAAATAGAGGAAAAGGTGTGAAATTTTGAGATAAACGATAGGAAAGTGATAGAGATACACCATGATGTTCAATATTTTTAGTTTAGCATCATAGTCAAATATTTCAAATCAATATCAGTTTAAGTCTGACATAGTTTACAAGAGAATTGTGGTCATTTTCTAGATAGTGATGAGGGACGTTTCAAATATAGAAAATTTTATTTTATGCAACTACGATATAATGATACTAAAAAGTAAAATTATCTTAAAATAAGTTTATGTACCTTATTCATTAGTCCTCGCTAATAATTCAGTAAAAAAGTAAACAAAAATTCTCGTGTCTAATAAAAAACAACAACAATTTCTGTGTATTAGAAAAAATATCACTTTTTTTACTCAACTCGTTTATTAACACTTTAAAGTAATGTTTAAGTAACTTTTTATTCTCAGATCCTTTTTTTTGCTCGATTTTACCATATAGTTAAATCGTTATACTCTCGTTTATTCTCTAAACCATCAATGAGAAAGCATATAGTTCCTACATGTCTATTCTTTTGTTAACGTTTTATAAGTTTCAATGGTAATATTGCGTCCTTATTGATCGAACGTTTGAAGGTAATCAATATATATTGTTCTATTAACTATCTATTGTGTGCTTTGGTTAAAAAGAAAAAAGGTGTTAAAAAGTCAGCAGTTTGTGTAGAAAATAGAAACAATGTTTAACGGTCAATGATATATACATAATTAGATGCATAATATGGATATGTGATGTGTGAATAACATAAATTATTTGACAAACACATTTTTCTTGCTATTGAATTGAATTAGATATCAAATATGTGAAGAAAAATTATTTTATACGATGTATCGTTGTGTTCATTTCGATTTGATTTGATCATTTATCTATTTGTTTATATTGCATTATAGATAGATAGTTTTTATTTTATTTTTTGCTTTCATGATGGGAATTTTCTGAAATCATCGTACTAAAATGTTAAAATATCATTTCCATATTCTATTTTAAAATCGAATTGATGAACTTGTATAATGAAAACTCTAATAATAAGTTCAAGAATATCAAAAAAATATTGCTAAAATGTTTCTTATTTTAATTGAATAACTTCTTAATTGCTATAAAATCTTGTCGGTCATGTTTACTACCTAATTAGGACGATACTTTTCTATTTATCATTATTCTTGATACACTATACATGTCTGATAGATTTACTGTGGATGTTTTATACGTCTTGATATCATTGCAATCCTCTCCTTCAATGAATAATTCAGTTTATACTGTTATTACTTTTGAAATATCTGCGTTACAAACGTTGAAAGTAATGTTTAGCAAAAAAGTTCATAGATTTTATGCTTGGCACTTGGTTATGAATATGTTTTCATTGTTTACTTTATCAGTAGACATCATGGTCTTTGAAACTTAATTGAAAAAGTCGCTAAGCGAATTTTATGAGTTGTTTGCACCTTGAGTAAAGTGATAACCTTGAACAATTTTCTCTTCTTTTTTTTTTTGGCAATTAAATTATAGTCCAAGTTTATAATAACCTTTGACATTGAACGTGTCTTGATCATCATCACTATCATTATCATAGAAAAAAAGGTAGCGTTATCAAATATGTCCAGTTCAATTAATTTATTTGATATCGTTGCTTTTGGGTAGTCGAAAATAAAAAAAGAAAAGTGACGAAGAAGAAAAAGAGAGCAAAAAAGAAAAGGTAGCATAGAGAATAAACGACAAGCACATTTTTCCTTCCATGATGATGTTTAGTGATAGTTCTGATGAACATCGAAGGATAACTGAGACAAAAGAGTTGTTCTATACCATCAGTTTCATAAGAGAGTAAAAGAGACAGAGAGAAAAAAATATATATAATTAATATAACCGCAGAGTAATCGCACAACGTTTAACACCCAGCTGTGGTGTGTAATAATCTAGTTTTTGAAAAAGAAAAAAATACAAGGTATGTAAATAAATAAACTTCTTCTTTTTTTTTTTGTTTAATTATTCTGTAAACGTTCTTTAATCCTTCCTAGTTAGTCTCGTTCTGTCTTGGAAACAATACTTACTCTAAACCTGTCTGCATTGGTCATTTCACTCGTTTCTTATTTTACACGCGTTTAATCTACTTCTTTAACATAAGTTTTCTTATTATCCTATTTATATTTTAAAAATTTCCTTATATACATGGTCCAACATTTGTATAATAAAATACAAAACTCATCTTAACATAGACAATACATCAAACATTTTTTAAGATGCGAAAGTCAAAAACAAAACTGAGTAGAAGTAAAATCCTTTTCAACAGATTGAGCATACCGATCATTTATTTACATTAAAGTTTTCTTTTTTAGAAATGTTTATTTTACAATCTTCTAGTTGTAGAAATTGAATATATGATGTCGATGATATTTTTTGCCAGAAAATTATAGAAAGTAACAGAGATTAAGTTAAATATAATTTTTAGTATAAAAATCACACATCTTTCATTATATTCTAACTCTTACTGTATATTTCATATTGACCTTCAATTGATCAAAGAACTTTTGCTCATATTGATGTTTTTGTTGCGGCGATGTGGTAATGATGACTGTATTCATCTTTTCTGATGTCTAATTCGATTCTATCACGATAAAATACCTGAATATATCTAAAGAAATATCTAAATATTATCATCAATATATAATATTATACGTTATGTTAATATATAAGCATACATAGCATGATAATATTTTGATCATCAGTTGCTGGTCTCCTGTTATTGTTATGCGAACTATTTTACTTGTTTTCAGTGTCGTCATCCTCTTTGCTAGTTTATTACCTCATCGGATAACCAAAAGTCTTTTATTTCTTGAACCTCATAGAGGGGAAAAGAAGCAGGGAAATATTGAACATTTTTTTATTTTTAACATAATAAAATTTTTTGAAAAGTAAAATCACCATCGAGAAACACTTCTTATTAGTTTAAAATCGTATTTCACTTGTTGAATATAAAGTAGAGCTTATAACGATTCTCTCTACAACGATTAATAGTTGTTGTAAAATAAATATAATTCAATATAAATATGACGTAAACCAAAAGAACTATTTCTTTTTTACAAGGTCATTTAAAATCAATAAATCTTGACACGCGATTACCTCCTATTAGAAAAACTCATTCTTTGCTGAGAATTACTAATATGAAGGACATAGTCTTGTATTCTTATGATGACTCATTGCTGAGTCATATGAGCTAAAATTTCAATCGAATTTACGGAACTAATTTCTTCAATCGAATTTTAAAATTTGATTTTCTTGACTAATGACTAAGAATACAAATTAAAAGTGATCATATTTCTTGTATACAATACGTAATATATAGTAGTATAAATAGAACAGTTATACGCATGTTATACTTTGTTATTTAGGTACAAAATTTGTACAGTTGGACAACACATAATAATAATGAACACGAACATATTGATCAAACGTCAACAACAATGGAAGGTAAGCTCTCATTATTTGGTGAGAAAATATAAACTGTTTTGTTTTTTTGTATAAATATTGTGCGTTTTTGTACAATTCAGCTTTAGTCGATATCAAAGACAGGTATAGATAAAATAAAAAAAGCTTCACTTTGAGTGTAATTCAATTTATTAACCACGCTGTTTATTTTTGCTTGATTTTTATGAAGCACGATTCTATTACTTTTAAAGTAGGCTGCTTCTTCTCTCTTACTTTGTGTATATAATAAACTAGCCTTGAAATTTCTTTCTCAAATTATTTGATTGACGTTTTGCTAATGCGTTTTTTTTAAGAATATTGAAATTTCTTTTCCGTTCTTTATTTTTATTCAGCTGATACAACCGTTGTTGATCATCAAAAAAGTTCATTACCAACTATTTATGATATACTGAGTGTATGTATATACTGGTGTTTATTTGCTCAGCTGCATTATATAATCATTATTTTTTTGTTTTCTAGCGTGATTACGGTTTTGATACTGAAACAAATTTATTTTGTTCAATAGATAACGTCATTACACCACAAACAAAAAATATTGACTCAAATATAATATTGTCATTATCTAATAATATAGAGTCAAAAAAAAAAGTAAGCAACAGCACTATATGGTTTTTAGTTGATGATCGGTTTTACGGTATTCCTAATAGTTCATACGATTAAAAAGGACTTATGATACAAGAAGGAAGAAATTTTTGACTATGTCTGTTTGTTATCACTTTTGGAGGAGTATTTTATTCATTTAACTTACTCTGTTTAATTATCATATTTTTGGAATGATATGTCCCCTTAGAAATCACAGTTAGTATTGAGTTACACACATCAATGTATAACCTGAATATAACCTACTTTCGTAATCTAAGTTTTTGGAGCATAATCTTGTTAACGTGAAATATATCGCAATTCTGTACGATTTTGTATCAGAAGGCATATAAACACCTTTCTAGAACTTCCCCTTCTCAGACGATTCAATATACGCTAATAATTCATTTTTTTTGTGTAAAGAGCAAAAGTTAGATCCAGATTTTACCCGCAACGATTTTAAAACGTGCTTTCGTTCCCAAGAAAAATGACTTTCACTTAGCGCTAGAAATCGTCTTTTTCAAATTTTGAGCTTACAATGTATCTCAATATGCCGTAATCAAAAGAGAGATATAAGTGTCTAGTTTGCTTTAAAGTAAACCGGATCTTGAATAACTACTACCACAAAAAAGCCTTAGGCATTTTGTCTATGATTCATCAATTATCCGATATTTTGAGCTGCAATTTTATCATAGACTGTTCGCAAAATGAACTTTGCCTACTAAAGTTTTTGCACGAATCAGATCCAAGATTTAGATAACCGGTGTCTGAGTAGGTGCCTTCTTTGAATTATAGACAGAACCAAAGTTCAGTTCAATGAATAAACTGACGAGGGAACCTCTCGAGGTGATAAAACGCTTTTTGCTCGGAATCTGGTGGGTTGTAGATTATTGACCATGCTGATTACGAATATGACCATGGGAATGGCCCTTTGCCCTTCGAAGACCCGGTTTTCTAGAAAAACAGTTTTTCAGAAACTCTAAAATAGAACCAGAATGAGAATCTCAATGAGACATGATTGTAGCCCGCATATTTCGGATTAAAATGAGACATTCCCCAGCTTTACATGACCTTTCTTTGCGAAGTTATAGAATTTACAAGAAAAGCCCTAAGTGTTCGTTTCCAGCGCAAAGCTACAGAAATAAGAGGGAAAAAATTAATGGCTATCGTTTAAGTGATCAGCAAGCGAAATAATTGCAAAATCAGTAAAATAAATGAATGGTCAGCAGAATAAGTGAATGATCCGTAGATTGAATAAATGATCAGTATTTTATTTAAATGGTCAGTTATTAAAATAATTTGGTTCGCCAATATATTTAAAAATTAGTAAATTAAATGAAAGGGTCAGTATAAAAATCGAAATGTGTTATAAGATGATTCACTTTTTTTTTCTGTTTTTCTTTCCTTCGCATTGGGGTATTTTCCAAACGTTTTCTTCCTTGACTTCAGGTATTTTCTCTTCTTTTTAATTATATAATTATAAATTTCTTTTTAATTATATGATTATATAAGATAACTTTATCGTTGATCTTCCCCTAAGTTGTTCATATATATTGTTAGGTTGTGATTCACACATCTCTACCCGCTTATTTCTTATGTATGTGTTCTTGTCGTTTTCCTTTCTCTTATTTGGTATTTCCCTGTCATTCTACTACTGACTGATATATAGTTGGATTTTTTGTTGGTATGGCTATTCGTTTGAAATATTGCAAACCTCCACCAGCAGTAAAAACAGTGCCGATCGGTGAGAAAAGAAAGCGAGGTAGGCCAGCAAAGCTAAACCTGCATTGCTAGTACAGTAGTTGGATTTTCATTTTCTTTTTCCTCCCATTCGTTCTTTAAATTTCTGGTTCTGTTTAGTGTTCTTTTAGATTCCTCCTTATTTCTTCTGTGATTTTTTAATTTTAGTTAAATTTATTTTTCGTATACTAAGTTAATCTTTATATGAATAAAACTTATTTATTCTGCTGATAAAATCTGCATTTTTACTGATAAATTTGGATTTTCCGCTGACCAAATTTGATTTTTTTACTGACCCTTATATATAAAAAGCTGACCATTTTATAATTATTGCTGACCATTTCAATATTTTCGCTGCCATTTCTATATATTTTTGCTGACCATTTCATTAATTTTGCTGACCAAAAATTATGTTCCCAAAATTAATTTAGGGCTTTTCTTGTAAATTCTATTCGCAAAGAAAGGTCATGTAAAGCTGGGGAATGTCTCATTTTAATCCGAAATGTGCGAGCTACAATCATGTCTCATTGAGATTCTCATTCTGGTTCTATTTTAGAGTTTCTGAAAAACTATTTTTCTAGAAAACTGGGTCTTCGAAGAGTAAAGGGCCATTCCCATGGTCATATTTGTAATCAGCATGGTCAATAACCTACAACCCACCAGATTCCGAGCAAAAAGCGTTTTATCACCTCGAGAGGTTCCCTCGTGAGTTATTTCTTTGTGCTAAAACTCCGCGCCTTTTTCCTCTTTCTGCTGTTTCTAAACTCGATGGTTATTCATTGTTTTTATCTCTTTATTTATTTATGTTGTTTTTTTAGTTAAAAACTCTTTTATACCATCAGAGTCATCAAGCGACACAAACGGAATTTGACAATGAAAAACCTTTAAGGATTCGAAATAATTTGTTATTAACAACCATGAATAATGGAGGAATAATTGCAAAGAAAACATCACGTTCAAATTCATTACCTAATTATATTTATTTTCAACAACAAGAACGCTGTTTACATCCTAATCAAAAATCATTATCAACAACCGAACAATTACCATTGTTAGTTCCTGTTCAACAGCAAAAACAAGAACAATCTTTGGTTCCACGTTTACAACTTCATTCATTACTTACACGTGGAAAATCATTGGATTATTATTTATCAAGAAGTAAACGTTATTTAAAACGAGATGAATTATCAGTGTTATTCACAATGTTAGTTACACCACCTACATCGGCAACATACAATAACGACAACGATCGTCCACGTTTATATGCTTTAACTGCTCCACAAAATCGTGATAGTGTCCGTTCAAATATGAACGTATTAAAGTGTTGCAGTAATACATTACCAAATTCAATTACAACGGGAAAAAATTCGATTGCACCTATTTCTTCAATTGTCAGATTGGAAAATAGTGAAAATAAAATACCAGAGCAAACAAAATCAATAGCAGCAAATAAAATTGTATCTCATCGTAATAAAAAAAACACCACAATAGTAACAACAACGAATGGAATAAAACGACAACAATCAAAAACAAAATCAGACAATAAAAAGACTTGTTTCGTAGATAATAATGATATTCATAATGTAATGAATAATTTATTAGACTCAATTGAAGAGACGATTAAAACGGTATCATCGCCACCTTCGTCGATGACTCAAGATGAAATAAACGTTCACACATCTGATATTGTCTCGGAAGTAGTAGAAAATCAAAACACTGTTAAAACAACTGATGAAAAAGAACAAAATGATGTTGAATATGTGAATCCTTGGTAAGAAATCGCAAGAAATATAAAGAAACGAGGGTGCGTTTACCAGAATTTTCAAGTAGTTTCGAATGTAGTTCACTTTCGATGACTAGGGAGTAGTTAGGGAAATTATGCTATTTGTACAGAATAATCACAGTCATTACGATTAATTCTTCGCTATGAGAAGTATTATACTTCTCTGAAGTTGTCAACAGTCATTTCATTATCATCTCACATTAATACGATTATCATCAGTTAAATATTACTTTCTTATACAGATTGCTTTACTAGTAAAATAACTGAACTACATATTTACTTTTAGTAAACATCAATCAATTTGTCCATCGGTGCCTCCGGTCGTTACCGTTTCATTCATTCCACCTCCTCCAGCACCGCCTCCCTTTTTTTCCTCATTGATACCACCACCCCCTCCTTTCCCAAATTTTTCTTATTCTATTCCTCCAGCACCACCAATGATGATGGGTAATGGTCCACCACCGCCACCCCCACCCCCACCGCCACTTGCTCCATTTATGAGTCAAAATCAAAATGGTTCAGTCATTCCTCCACCGCCACCATTCTTTCCTAATTCTCTTGGTAAACCTATTCTACCATTCAAAAAACCCAATCGCCGGATATATGATCCTCAAAAAGATGTCAAACCATTATATTGGAATAAAATTGTCTTGAATGTAAATCATTCTGATGCCATTTGGTTAAATATTGAAGAACCAACATTTGATGAAGATTCATTAGCAAAGATGTTTGAAAAACCTGTTATTAACTCATCAAAAAAGGCACCACCAGCCGATCAACATTCTACTACACTATCAACAAAATCTTCCACTGGAAAAGAAACTATTAAACTTTTGGACGAAAAGCGTTCTCGTGCAATTGGTATATTTATTTCATCTCGACATTTGGATGTACAAACAATAAAAGACTATTTGCTAAAATGCGATACATCATGTATGAATATTGAAACGTTAACGGGTGTATATAATAATCAACCAACTGACGATGAAATTCAGTTATTAGAACCATATTTAAATGATAATCAAGCACTAGATAAACCGGAACTATTTTTGACTGGTTTATTAAAAATTCCTTGCATGTCTGATCGTTTACATTGTCTCGTATTCGAAATATCCTTCAATGAAACATTGAGTTCAATTGATGCACAATTAAATACATTATTAACAGCGTGTGATGAACTAATACATTCAACGTCATTAAAACAATTATTGGGTCTCATATTGGCTATTGGAAATTTTCTGAATGCTAAAAATAATTCGCGTGGATGTGCAGACGGTTTCGGTTTAAATATTCTGCCAACATTAAAAGATGTTAAAACAAAAGATAATTGCTCGACATTATTAAATTATCTAGCGGAACAATATATTAAACAATTTCAAATGAAAAAACTAAATGCATTTACCAATATGGGCAACGGTAAGCATTTCAATCGGAAAATTTTATATAGGATTTTCTTGTAAAACAGTTAAAATTTCAAAGGATTGAAGAGTTGAATTTTATATTCGAAAATGTACAGGAGTTTATCGTTTTTTTTACACACGTACATTTTTACACATGCACATTAAATATTAAGATTATTCTTAAGAATCTGAAGTGTTTCACATTTTAGTTCGAAAGAGATTTACTGTCACAAAATGTTTTTCTTCTTTTCATAGATTTAATCAGCAGTTCAAACGAATCTCTAACCACTGCTCCATTACGATCAAAATCTCAATTATCTCCAACATTAACCAAAACAAATATGCCAAATATTACAAAATTTCAATTACCTGTACCCGAACCATCAGATCTGTTAACTGCATCAAATGTTAATTTTGATGAAATTGAACGATGCATTGAAAATTTACGTACTAAATTAAATGAATGTCAACGACGTGCTGATTTAGTTAAAGATGAATTAGATAAAAATTTTGAACAACACGATGATGATGATCGATTTTGTCAACATGTAACAACATTTCTAATTAAAGCACGACAAGAACACAGTGAAACAAATAAACAATTTAAAAAAGCAAAATCTCGATTTCATGATACATGTAAAAAATTTTGTATTAAAGCAATAACAACATCATCGACAAACTCTTCTTCTACTCCATCGACAAATAATGATGAAATGGATCCAAAAGAATTTTTTAAATTATGGCACGGATTTTGTAATGATTTTAAAGATGCATGGACAAAAGAAAAAGCAAAATTACTTAAAAATAGGTATGTACATAGATTAAATTTTATTTCTAAGATTTCTAGACAAAAAAAAGTATAAGACCATTAATTTTGAGAATTGAGTTAGAAAAAATTTTGTTTTAAAAAATAAAATGACCACACATACACACACACTTTAGTCAATCGACGTCATCTTCTCAACAACATATTCGATCATCACGACGTTTTACAACCATGTCAGATTCAAATGATGATACCATCACAACACAACCATTGCCACCGTCAATTATGATGATGTCGGATAGTTTTCCTAATCCTCTATCAGGCTCGTCATTCATCTCCTATAGACGTCAGGTAGTTCGCCATGTTTGCTCAAAACAAATGACTCCGCTCGAAATTGCATGTGCTTTACATCAAAATAAAAAATGCTTCTAAACAAAGTTGCATGTGTAATTTTAATAATCTATTTCATATTTCAATTATCATCTTCAATTATTTTATTTTTTATTTTTTTTATTTTTATTTAGAAATATCCAGTCGTCCGAGAAAAAGACTCAAGATACTCCCGATAGAACAAAAATTCAAACTTTAATTGATAAACGTGTAAACAATCGTGGTTTAACACCAGACAAATTTACGTTAAAAAAACGTTCACAATCGTGATTAATACATTCCATAATTAAATTTTTTTAGTTAAATTCCAAAAGAGAATGATGTTGCTTTGTTTTATCCTAATTTCTTATCGATAAATTTGACCTATTTTTCTTTTACTTCTTATCCAGTGATGAAATATTGTGATTGTGTATTTTCTCGTGCTTTGCGTGTATGCATATGTTCAAAAAAAACCAACAACAAAACCATCGTCTTATATGTATGTACTTATATCTATTTTTCTATATCTTGTAAACTAGAACAGATAGTTGTTACGTTCTTCGTCTTCTTGGTAAATGTTTTTCTTTTTTCTTTTTCTTCAAATTTAAATATTTATTTGTTTGTGTTTTATTTATTAAATGAATAAAAATATGATCTAAATATCTCTGGATTAAATCGATTGTCTTTTTTATTTGTCATTATAATAATCAATATAATGGGGTTAGTGCAGATTATCCATCACAGTTGTCGGTGATAAGGGTACAATCATCGAAAAAATAGCGAAATATTTCTGATAATAGTTTTTTGATTGCCAAAAGACAGGGCTGCCGTCTTTTTTGTTTTTTGCAAAAATGTTCCGTTTTCTCGACGTTTTCCACTTCTTAGGTTTTTTTCCGCCTTTTCTATTTTCCTTTTTTGATTGAATGCAATCACTTTTGACAAACTTTATTTTCTATTAATACATTCATGGTGAATGATTAAGTGGATGAATTTATCCACATAAAGTAAATCACTGCTCTTCCTTAATCTGGTCATTTTAAAATGCATCTTTATTGTGGTTAATAGTTTTTTCCTATACAAACGCGTCAAAAAGCAAAAAAACATGCTTTTCATTTTTTCCCGTTTTGCGTTAAAAGTTTTTCCGCTTTTCGGACTTCTAAAGGCGGCAACCTTAAACAAAGACAATGGGTAAAAGCACCATGTATGAATCGAGAGACCTTCTAGGAAAAATAGCAAAGGGAGATTGAAAATACATATGGCTGAAAAATGTACAAATCAAAAATGTGAAATGAAAGGATGTATTGTGTGCTGTCACTTTGGGAATATGGAAATTTCAAACGACAAGTTTGAAGAAACATCGAGCATTTTACGGTATCTTCAGAAGTATGCCATAAAAAAGCTCGATCTGTGATTCTAATCTAAATTATATTGAAAAAATTCATTTGACGGTTAATTTTGGTGAGTGTATGTGCAGTGCATCAGCATTTCGAATGAACTTTTCTGCTTGTGTTGTAAGGCACAGTTCGATATTTTCATAACTGAAACATAAAGTAATCTTCAAAACTTGAAGATATTTTGCTTTTTCTGTTGTTTTTTCTAATCCTAATGATTCCAGGACATTTGACGACTTGTGTGAGTGGCTGGAACTTAGACGATTTATGAAAGATGTGTACGGTTTTTATAACAAAACTTTTGAATACTTTCTTTCAATGCTGAAGCTAAATGTCCGGTTATCTCGAAGATTGAAACCCTCCAGAGAATGATAAAACTTTTGCTAATATCTTGAAAGTTAGAGTAAATGTTTCTCCATCCACAAAGTAACAGTGCATAATACATTCGCTCATTTTACATCCCTGATTTAGAGTTCTTTCAAGTTTTGAGCGTCACTTAATATAACCGAAAGTAGTAATTAGTATTAATCTATCATGTTCTAGAAAAGTTTAATGATACGATTTTTCGAAACTCGAATGTCACTGAATTCGATTAGTGGCACTTACACTACTTGTTTGAGTTAGTTCAAGTATTATTTTTAAGAATGAGTTACTGTCCAAGATGATAGACAACAAAGGTGCCGGTAGTTCTCCTAATTATGATATATATATACATGAAAAAAATTAATTTCGTCAGCAGATATTTAAAAATTTATCTATACTGGAAGAGAAATTAAAACTGAAAAGTGATTATTTAAAAAATATTTTAAGGAAAGAAAACTAAAAAAATTCGAAGGATCTTAAATTTTGAAAACCCCTTCAGTTTCAAAAAAATTTGAAGCTTTTTCTTTTTCTAACTTCTTGAAAGGTTTTTTTCCATATTCAACAACAAAAACTAGGTATGAGAACGATACTTGATCGCGGTTGAAGTCAAAGGTCTATCCGATATGGACGTCTGGACTCGCCTTGTGAAAAGCTCATGAACAATTTTGCAAACGTATCTAGCTTTTTCTGTGAAGAGATGAAGCCGACCTTTTTATTTCATTAGAACCGCCATTAAACGAGCTTTAAAAGTGCGCATAAATTTTTCTTTAATTTTGTTCCGTTGCCGAGAAAACTCGTTTTTTCTAAATCAATGACGAAAAATACCGAAATACACTCGTATTTGACACTTTAACCATCAAACTTCAATTTTTTTTCAAAACTAATGTGATATTCGAAATCACCATAAAAAATGAGTCGAATAAGGTGTGTCTGGGAATTTTGAGATAGTTTTCGTTTTTCGGTAAAAATCTCGTATTTTTTTTTGATGGAGAAATTCGAAAACAGTACCAGTTGCCGAATAGAACCATGAAGAGCGTTATCTGATTTTTTCGAAATTTTCTGCAAAATTGTTTATGAACTTTTTACAGGGC